TTCCAATTCAGCCTTGAGTTGTTGGATTCTCAAATCGTCGAATCTCACCATATTAAAACTTGTATTCGTTCAGCAATCTCACTCCTGACACCAATTGTTACGTATTTCCTTAGGATCGATCTCTAAATTGCTAATCGAATAAAAAGTAACCAAGATTTGTAACACAGGAAAATTGCTTCTTTATTCAACGAATGATTTTCAAATTCTGGAAAATTTTCATAAAGATATGACAGATTTCTCAAAGCTTAGATTCTTACACATTTTCGGTACAATATTTTAATGGCACTTGATGTAACCTATATTTAAACCTCCACAACTTTTAAAGTTATTGGGGTTTTTTCCACGTCAAATTATAATTTTCTACGAATTCAGATGTTAAGTATTAGCCAAGTAAATTTAGATCAAATTGGTTCGTAGAAAAAAAATGTGTAGTAGCGAACTTTTGACACAGTTTACTTCTATTTGACGCGTAGATCATGGATCCACAGTCTCGCCCCTTAATTTCATATCGGAACATTCCGCTATATTGGATTTCAGGTTTTTTTTTTATAAAAACTAAAACAAAAAGCATTTTTACTGTAAATAATTAGCAAAACGTGCGAAAAACGTTTGCATTGTCACTGCTTTCGCCATTTTTCAACAATTTCTGATAAAAATTCGTGGCATATTCAAATGCTAAGTTGTAATGAACTTTTCTCTTTTAGTGTTGCGTTCACCGGTGGCACAAAATTTGTAAAGCAAAATCTAATTTACGTTTAGTTAAGATGCCATATTTAAGACGCCATGTTGAATTTTTCAAAAGGCCTCACGGATGAGGAGGTTTAAAAATAGTTTAGCTATTTTTGACATCGGGGGACAAAATCTATCAAGTGCCATTACAATATATTAAATTTCCCGCTGACGTTTGGCAAAATGTTGGCCGCTTTGTGAAAAATTCCATGAATTCGCTGAACTTTAGGGCCTTTGAGACACGTCTTTCCGTTATTCGACGTTTTTATGACCAAATGAACTTTTCTGTGGGGAGTCTTGCATTTTAGGACAAAGGCTTGATGATATTTATTAAATTATTTTGCAAAACTATAACTAAATAGGGGAGCGAAAAGTGTTATAGGCCACATAAGGAAAAAAAATAGGGGAGCGAAAGGTGTTATAGGCCACATAAGGAAAAAAAAATCTGAAGAAATAGGAAATCTGAATTTTAACTCATTTTTTAATGGATAACACAGCCCAACAAAAATATAAAAGAAAGTTGGTACGGCAAATGTAAATGCTGTGTTTGATAGATTTTTTTGTGCTGATTACGAATCCGTAAGCATAAAGTCTCCATCAGCTCTAGAACGAGGTTAAAGTGCCAAAAAATCGCGGTTTTTGCAAAATATTTTAGCAGCTCTAGCAAAGAAACAAAAGGTGATGAAGCCTTCCTGGCTTAAATTAAACCTAGATCGCCCGACTACTATCTCCGAAAAGAGATCGTAAATGTTTGAGATCTTAAAATATTTTTTACCATTATTATCTTAAACTAAATGATATACAATTTTTATTTCCCTCCACAGGGGGGTTTAAACCCCAAAAACCCCTTCCCCCTTTGCCGCCGGGCCCGCACATAAATATGTATGAATGTATACATATATATTTAGTATAGGTTTGCACGTATGCATTATTCATTATTTTTAGACACGCACACGTTCAAAATCATCCAGTAATTGCACGGAAATACATTCGAGCATGAGAGTCGAGCAACCAAAATAAACTGTGTCAGTTGCTGAATACTCTAAATCAGAGATTCTTAAAGTGGTACACGGGAGGGGGTCTACGTTGGCGTGAAGAAAAAAAGGGGGTTTACAAGATGTAAATAGGGGCGCACGAAAATGGTTTCGATAATAAATAACAAACATGTTGGCTTGGCTTTACCTAGCAATGTAGGCAGATAATGCAATAGTCAAAAAAATTTCAAACTTTTCGGTGATTTTTGACCGACTGTATTACAGCGCTAATAAAGAAGAAGTATTTCGGTGAAAAATGGCCGCAGTGAGATTTTAAGAGCATTAATTTTGAAGCTTTAAGATTCTTATTTTCAGATTTCTTGGCTAAACATTTTTAGGAGCTGCGGTTCTCATGCAATCCTAACAGATAGCGGGCTTAGAAAGCCTTTTCTTTAATAACCCTTAATTTCCTTTTTGTAGAACCTCCCTTAATTTTTGTGAGTAGTGTATTTTAAGACAGAGTTGAATGAAATTTCCATCTTTCTCCTCACTACCAGGGCTGTAAACCACTTTTGAACCGAACTGGTTTTTGAACCGCACCGTCGCTGTTTTTCGGGCTTCGAACCGAAGCACAAACCAAACCATTTTTATTTTGAAATGCCAAAACCGTACCGAAAACCACTCCAAAAAAATGGTTCGGTTAGGTTCAGACACTACTAAAGCATTTTTCAAGTTTTGCAGTACACAACTTTGCCTATGGTAAAACTGCAAACATTTTTAACTTTTATGGCATCTCTGTGAGTTACAATTTCGTCCATATAAAGAATGCTTGAAATGTTTTTAAATATTACCGCCGGCGAAAAAAATCCTAATCCGTGATACCAATGCTAAAAATTAACTTAAAATTTAAAAAAAATTTCTAGAAATTCTCCTTAAAATGTTTGCAATTTAGATGAAACTTTGAAGAATTTTCGTAATTTTTGCACAAAGTTTTAAGCTCGGATTTATTAATTTTTTGTTAGAGGACGAACTATGAAAAAAGTAAACCTAATATAAACAAAAAAATATAGCCAAAATTGTTAAAATTTCGCGTCTTTATTTATTTTTCCACCACTAAAAATGTGGATATTTGAATTTGATCTCAATAACAAAGTAAAATTCTGAAAGTGGTCTATGAGAAAAAAAGGTTTGGAAACCTCTGCTCTAAATAATAATGCCAGTACGCAAACAGACTAGTGCCTCAGGGAAGAGGCCGTTAACTGATAATTTTTGTGTTCCCTTTTGAACATTAATTTAATGTGCAGCGCCAAGAATAAATAGCAGGGCTGTGTCATATTGCCCGTTGCATATAAATCCGAACTATACATATTATCGTAAGGCGTCGAAATAAAAAAAATTTATTATACCCACTATTCTATAAACTTACTTACATAATACCATGTTCTGACCGACAGCAAAAACGTGATTTCGTTGCTAAAACTGGTTTTCGACTTAAAACTTGTGTTTTCGTCCATGTAAAATCTGTTAAACGGAAACCAGTTTTCGCTGAAAACTACTTGAAAACTCACATTCCACTCATTCTAATCGGCAGGGAACGGATTTTATGGAAATTGCCTTTTTTTCTGCTAAAGAGATAGAGTAAGAATGTCCACGATTTAGCTTTCCCTGATTCAATATATACACATTTGATGTTGCCTTTTTTTTGCCTTTTTTAAGATATTTGCCTTTTTTTTGCCTTATTTAAGATATTTGCCTTTTTTTGCCTTTTCTGCTTTTAAAAAAGTGATTATAGCATTTACAATTTTCTTTTTAAGATTAAAAAATATGCACATGCCCATGCGGCTTATAGGAGCGCAGGGACCTCTTGCCAAATTGGTGTTGGAAAAATTCAAAGCCGTTTTCTCAGCTAACGTAGGCTTGGAGACAATAAGGGGTGTAGATAAAATTGTAAAAGGCGAGGAAAACGCCCTTATTCCTGATAATATGAACGTTTCAAACGTTCCATATTTAAATTGGGCTCCACTTGTATCAACTACGTCGAGCGCACATTAAGTACATTCAAGGCTTTTCTTCGCGAAAATCGAATGAAAATGCTGCCAGAAAACTTCAAAATGCATCTTGTGGTTCAATGTTACTACAACTATACAGATTAAAATTTTATGAGTTTGAAACTCGAAAGGATAAAATAGTCAAAGATTCAAAGTACAAATTTTTCATATAATGAAACTACTTCATAGTTTTTCTCTTATTACTTGTAATATACACATTTCTAAAATAAATGTATTTTTTGATTGTTCTTCGTATTTTCTGTCTTTTTTAGTGCCTTATTTTGCTTTTTTTGCAATACCTAATGCCTTTTCCTACCTTTTTCGCTATATTGTTTTGCCTTTTTTTGCCTTTTTTGCAATACCTAGTGCCTTTTCCTGCCTTTTTCGCTATTTTATTTTGCCTTTTCCAGCCTATTTCGTTATTTTATTTTGCCTTTTTTATAGGTTTTTAGGTCCTAAAAATCCGTTCCCTGCTAATCGGTGTCCTCAATAGTCTTTTTTTTTGATTATTTATCGAAGTGGAAGTCATATTTTATCATCTTTTATATGCCAGTTCGGATTTATTGTTAATTGGCTGGCCAAATTAAAATAATAATAAAATAATGAAAATAAAATGAAAGAAAAGAAAATAAAGAAAAGTAATTTGGTCTTGGTTTTTCGTAACAAAACTGTAAACTAAAGATGTAAGAAATGTCAGCGAAAATACTAACAGCCGGTGGGAACAGCCTTCAGCCCACAATCCCGTGCATGTACTACATATTTACTTCAATAGTGTCATAACTCAAAAAGCTAAACTCGAGAAAAACGGCTTTAAACTTTTGAATTTACATATACTCCCATAGTAAAAATAAACACATATTTTGTCCTAGTGAGATGCTGGTAATCGATACAGCTATGTAATTTTTACACAGCATAGAAGAAGAGGTAGCGGTAATTTCTGCATATTTAACTCAAGATTTATATTTTTTGGTTTATGACACTATTGAAGTAAATGACCGATATGTACATATATTCAAATTTTTATACACACACACTACCATTGATATAGAGACATACGAAATTATTTCGACTGAATTAATATGACACACATTCTACCTTTCATTTAACATTTTATTCGTAATTGCACCTCCCCCCTCATGTTTATGTGAATATGCCATATTTTGTGTTTTATTGTTAGCCACAGCGATTTATTTTTAAATAATCTGTCTCATCTTTTTCTGTTTTGATTTGTATTTTTCAACAAACGCAGCCAGGCCAAATATCGCAACAGCATCACCTATCGAAACACTGACAACAACAAGAGAAAAAGCGTATTCATCACAATTGGGAACATTTCGTGGCAGATATGCCAGCACCAAGAGTCACACGTTTTTAGCAGCGTTGCAAATCGAAGCGCGCCAGCATTGTGAGCGAATAAACAAAAAAATACCCACTTCGCTGCCAACTACGTCAGATTTGAGTCAGTTGCAACGGCCGCGGCCCTTACAATACCAGAAGCTGACGCTGGAATTTTCCGATGCTGATGATGCGCAGCAGCTAAGACATCCACAGAAGCAACAGTCGGATAACAGCCTGCAACAGTCGGATAACAGCCTGCAACAGCTGCAAATGTCAGCGACGAAATTGCAAAACACCGCACGTATTACTAGCAGAGAGAAGAGCGGACGGGAGCAAATACAACAACCAGAACAGCAGCCTCCGCTGAAAGGACAACAGCAAATGATAGTTGCTGATGTTTTGTCTCCGGTTGTGGGAGTCGATAATGGCGATGGCGCCAACAAAGTGGCCAAAAAACATCAATTCTGCACAAATGTGTACAAGAATAACAACAGCAATAACGACAATCGAAATGAGACTACAGAAGGTGAACAATTGCTTCCTTTGACAAGCAGTGTATTAGCAGCGCCAACGGGTGCGCCGAGGCAAACAATGAACGCGCAGCATTCATGCAATAATTATGAAAACAGTCCGAATGATCAAAATAATGGCCACACGCCATTACTGTTACCCCAGTTCCCGCCGCTCGCGTCGCAGTCGGCCTTACAATCGCGTTCCATTGCAGCGACGGCGACAACTGAGTCAGCTTACTCGGCGGCCGTTGGTAAAAATACGCTCAATTTTTGTGAGCGTTGCTGTGAAAGCGCTAGCATGGCCAGCGACAATTATGCTCAGGGCGCAAACGCCGATCGCAAAAAGAATTCGAGTGGAGAGGACCACTATGAATTCTATCGCGAGTTCAACGATTCAGTCTCAAATCTGTCGTCGTACCGATTCATCTCCGATGATGATGAAGTAAGCGCGAGTATATCTGCTAACGAAACGGTTGCCACAGAAGAAACATTCAATATCGAAACCAAACACTACGAACTCAAAGGCAATAACAGCAACAACAAAGTAGAAAAAGACATCATATTAGGCAAAAATCAAAACATCGCGCCGTCGGGAGCGTATTCGTACTCGAACTCGTGCTCGTACCCGCCATTGTCCCCGGAATCGCCATCGTTGTTGACGCAAAAGCGTTTTCCGTTGCCAACATTGTTGACACCCGCCGCAGCACAAACAATAAAAATAGCCGCACCGCGTTGTGCTTCGCCTACAATTTGTTGTTGTAAAATTGACAAACCCATCAGCTTACATTATAACGCGACTGTTTTGGAATACATACCAAACGAAACAAAGGCAACGTTTCCAACACCCACGCCCGATATCGCATATTCAACAGCTCCCGTACCGATTCCGAATACTTCTGGAAGTACGAACAGATTCCCAGCGGAAGAAATCGGGTTAAGTGAATGTTTCTACCATGAGGAGCTTCTGTCTACATCACTGCCAAGTAACTACGGTAGTGTGAAAAGTATTGAAAGGCCCCTACGGAGTACCCAGCATAACCCGAAAAGGTTCAAACCCCCTCCTCCCGAACCGCCACCGAAGCCAAAACAGGAGAGAAGACCATTCTATCGGACCACAATATATTCGAGCTCCAGTGCATCAGCGCTAGAGAATCAGGGCCAGGTAGAAAAAAACTCTTACAATAACGAGCGATCTAGCTTAAATGGACAGAACTTCTATACGAACAACGGACAAAAGCTCGGAAAGCCAAAGTCGTTGGTATCTATTCCTTCCCAGTCATCAACACGCTATATTTCCAAAGATGCTGGAAACTCTGCCCTTCAATTGTCACCTCCCATTGAACGCTCCGTTTCGCCAGAGCATTGTGAGTTGTTGAGTTGCTTTGGGACGGCTAAAAATACTCGAAGCGAGTCCGCAAATCGAAACGACGAGCGTCTAGGTGACGCACGAGGAAAAGAAAATAGCCGCCACGAGAAACAGCGAATAAAAAGAAATGAAAACATAGATATAGGAAATGAAAAGGCTGCGAAATTTATAGCGCGTAGTTTAAGTGAAAGCAGCTGCTTGGTGTCGGCGGTAACGACACTTGTCAATGAAAAGTGTGCTATCGAAAACAAAAATAATCACCACCACCAGCACAAGTCACAGCCTGCACGTCAATACCTGGTAGACGCGCAATTACAGCTACCAACATCGTCGTCTAATCACCATAATAAGAATAATCATATTAACAACAATAAACGGCAGCATTGGGGTGATTTCGAGCATAGTCAACGAAGTGCAGCCAACAGGAAAAAATCAGCGGCGACAAGTGTCTACGCTGTCGCCGATGTAAGTGGCGGCGTGTACGACGTTCTTGACACGCATGCCGTGGCTAGTGGAAATAGTATCGCATGTGGCGAATGCAATAACAACTACAATTGCAAGGCAAGGTGTCTCGCGGAACACGCCAGGTTGGAGGCAGCGCCACCACATTTTGGTGTGGTAATTGGCGAGGTGTTGAGTCAAAGTTCGCAGTCATCAATATCTTACTTGTCTTCCTCACTGCCAAAACGTACGCTGCGTTACGATAGTTATGGCCGTTTGAAGTCTGAACGGGTACCGCGTCTCCCTACTGTGACAAAATCACTAGCCAACGGTCGCAAAGCAACCAGTGAGACGCGTCTGCATCGTGCGTTTCAGAATGCCTTAGCCCCATCTGAGTGCGATTTGCTTTCCTCTCTGTCGGTCAGTAGTATTAAGTTTACTCCTACCTTGGGCCGAAAATTTAATTATTTAAGTGATAGATTTGAAGACTATGTCGTCGCGTGTGAAAAATATGAATTAGGTTCTACATGTGAAGAAAGTGAAACTACCCCGAAATCAAAGCCGAATCGTAGTGTGCAAAAGATAATTATTACCAATGACGAACCAATCTCATCGGCAATTAATGCAAATACTACCGACGTGTTACAGTCAAACTCTATTGATAACCTGCCAACCAGTCACGTATTCGACGAAGAAGTAAATGTTTCTCTTCCAAAGACTGTGCCAGCGCCACAAAAGATTTATAAATCTTTCAGTGATACTCAAAATTTCTTGTCCCACCACAAAGCGAATCAAGAAAGGATAAACAATAATAATATTGAGGCATGGCAATCAAACCGTTCCATTAGTGACTTTTCGCTCAAATCGGCTTTTGCTGAATCGGATAGTAGTTTACCATGTCAGTGTTCTTCTAAGCAACCCATATCACCGACAGATACCACATCGCCCTCTTCACCGACTTTGCCAATATCATTACAGTCCCAGAAATCGTCTGGTGGGTTAAACCAGAAAAATTCACAGTCCCTTCCAAGCGTTCCACAATCGAACGATACGAATAGTCCGCATTGGCTTAGTTGTGAGACTCTTGCGTCGTCGCGTCGGTCTGAACCAAAATCTGGGTTGGACGATTTGCAATCGAATTGCAGTGATCAAACAACTATTTTCCACTTGGATAACGAATGGTCCCTATCGGCTTCATCTTTGTCGCCAACATCTCAGCCCACGCTAATCACCGGAAATAGTGGCCACATCTCAAGGGGTCCAGTTGTGCTAAAACGAATTCCAGAGATACACTCATTCGGGCATATTCCGCAAATTCAGTCGAATACTCAGAAAAGCGCTAATGTGCGTGAAGAAGGCGAAAAAGAGGTGAGTGAAATAATATGGTAATTCGCTCCTTCGCGTATTCATTGTATCAGTTCATTCTATCTGTGTGTCAGATGAAAATAGAAACATTTCACTTTTAACTCAATGGCCGAAACAGCTCTAACCCAGCAAACAATTAGATAGGAACTTGGCCCAAATCAAACATAGAAACATTTCTATTTCGTATGTACGCATATGCTTTTTACAGAAACAAATCTAATTTGCCACGATATGTTGCCATTTCCATATGTAAAAAGTGGCACGTTCACATTCAAATACATATCGTGTAAGAACACCTTTACACAAGATACAACGAGTAATTAGAAAATTATTTGCGAGTTCAGTAATCCATACTAGGGATTTTTCGAATGTCATATTTTTCACATTCGCGAATGCGAATTTTCATTAACATCAATAACATTAAAAAGGCTTTAATCAAATTAGGACATCGTTTTATAGATTATTACAACATTAAACCAGTGCTTAACCTATACAGTGTTTTAATCTAGTAGTCAAAGCTCAAAAGGGGCATATTACATTTCAGGAAAAGTAATTTTGCTTCCCATGAGTACGGTGACCAGATTTCTGTGGACAAAAATCGGACTCAAAACATACAATTTTGTTTTTAAAATAAAGAGACATAATAACCTTTAATAAAGTTATATTTAAAACAAAACACAGAGAAAAAACTTAAAAAATGATCGCAAAAATGTATACACAGAATATATATGGTTGAGATAAAGTAAATAGGGAAGAAATTTTAGTAAGTTTTGGGAACTTTTCTTTGTTTAAAAAATTTTTATTATTTTTTAACCGACTCCACAAAAAGGAGATAGGTTATCAATTATTCGGAATATATATATATATTTTCTTTATGTATGTTACGGCAAAAATTTGGACCACGTTAACCGTTATAATTCTTTTGTTAACGGAAAGGTGTTACCTCACACGTGGTTCCATATTAATTCCTCGAATTTAAACAAATGCTGATCAAAATTTTAAACTTTTTAATCAGATTTTTTAGATTTTTTTTTGAGCATGCAGTTTTATTGTCCATACAATTTTAATACAATAAAGAGGAAGTTCGAAGTAGCTTGGACTTACCGTTGATTTTTGGCAATTTTTTGTTTCCGGATTTTCTTACATACAAAGTGACTTCGACATTTTTTTTTGTATATATAGAGAAAATGAGCAACACCTTCCACAAACAAAAAAAATTTACCAAAAGTCAACGGTAAGTCTTAGCTAATTAAAATTTACTAAAATTAAATGGGCTACAAAACTGAATACTGAGAATCTTTCTAAGAAATCTAATTAAAAAGCTCCAAATTTTGATGAAACTTTGTCAAATTGTTTGTGGGTCAAAGTATAGGGAGACTCTTGTTAAATTAATAAAGAAAACACTGAAAATCGGGATTTAATGGGTACAAATATAAAATATCGGGAAACTTATAACTTCCGACTTTTAAAAAATATTCAGAGTGACAAATTTCTCAAATTTTCCGCCAAAATCGGTACGAATGGTCACCGTACCTATGTAAAATATGATTAGCACTGAAATATTTAACAGGTCATCACAAAAAGAGAATAAAGTGCGAACGTTAGAAAAAAAAAAATGCGAACACATTTGAGGGCGTCCAATTAGATCTACATGCTTATATTTTCTACGACATGCAGCAGCGTACAAGGGTTATTTTACCTGTAAAATACTAAACGTTAAATTGAAACAACCTTTAACATATCGCACACCTAGATCTAAAGTATGATCAACTCCAATAAATGCAAATATTTTTTGTTCATGATTATATACATTAACTAAAAAATTTATGTTATACAATCTTTCCACGATTCGTAATTCGCTCTCTAAGTAATTCGCTAAGTAATTCGTGAATTACCCTGCTTCCACGTCAAACATTAGTAATTCGTTTGGCAGCTCTAGTTCTTGTTCTTGTTCTGCGCTATTTATTATTATTTTTGTGTACTGCAAATATCGAAGATGGAGCTAAAATTTAGTTATCATCAACAATTTTAATTTATATAGAGAATATTTTATTAATATTATTCTATAACTAGAAAAAGTGCCAACAATTGGGACCAGGCCGGTGAAAACTTCGATATATTTCCGACAAATATTATTCGCATGGTAATTCGATCTGAATTACCTACAAATGAGGTAATTCGCTCCCAAAATTTTGTATGGCGAATTACGTAATTCGGAAGGTAATTGGCAAGGCGAATGACGAATGGGAGAGCGAATTACGAATAAGAGAGCGAATTACGAACCGTGGAAATGCCGTATTATACCTGTTTTTGTATTAATTTCGTTGAATCTGTACGATCCACAAGGAGTTATATTTCCCTCTCTGAACTTTGAGTTAGCTCACTTTAGATCTAGGTCATATGTGCGTTACGCTGCGATTGTGTGCTTAGTGGTCGTTAACTGCGCGCTCTGCCCATGTACACATTCGTATTCGCAAAATATTCGTATCATTTGATGCGAATGTGTAAACTGATGCAAACCATTCGTAAAACGAATACGAATGATTCGACATTCTCATTCGCATCAAATGATAAAAATGTTTTGCGAATGCGAATGTGTACATGGGCAGAGAGTCCACTCTAATATAGTTGAAATGACTCCATCGATGGTAAAAAATTAACCATCTGTAATTCAACTTACCCAGCAAAAACTTTGATTCTTTGGTAAGCGCTTACTTTTTGTATCGATGAAGTAACGCACTACAATTCGCCGTTAGACAAGTACCTGTAATGCAGTGGTTACACGAGAAAGTGACAAAATTTTGTCTTGAGGCGAATTACAATTACTCCATCGATACAAATAGTAAGCGCTTACCAAAAACAGAAAAGTTTTTGCTTTTATTTTGGTTTTAATTAACTATTGTTGTCCGCACTGAGGTTTGATGTTTATAGAAGAGTACAAATGTAGAGAACAGTGCTTCGACTCATGAAACTCGATACAGGACTAAATTACTTCAAAAACAAGTAAGAGCAGCGCTGTCTTCGGCTATGCCGAAGGCTTCATACCTTTCATGAACATCTGCAAATTTTACTTTGACAGATTACTGCTTTTGAATACATCTGCATACATCGATAGAGGAGTTACATACTTATATAAAAAATCGCATCTAAACAATCAGAGGTATGGAAGATATACTTTATATGGCACCAATCTAAGTGATTTTCACTGCTATGTGATCGGTATGTAAACCGGTAACACAATTTATTAGGTTTAGTTTCCTACATAAAGGAGATATATCGCAAAAACTGGTATCTGAACAATCAGTGCTATAGGAGATAAAGCTTATACAGCATAGATTTTGACGATTTTCTCAGTAGACTTTGTATTATTATTTATAAAATATCTTACGAAATTTATCGGTTTTAGCTGTTCAAATAAAGGAGTTTTACCGTAAAATCCCATATCTGAACAATCAGATGTATGGAAGATATATGTTGTAGTCATCCGATCCTTGTTATATTCACTGTAAGTATTCTGTAAATAATGAGTGAAAGTGGTGCGAAATTTCATGTTCCTAGCTGCATAAATGGAGGAGTTATGATAAAAGACCTCATATCTGAACAATCAGTTGTATGGGGTCTGCAGGTTATAGTGACCCGATCTTTGTTATTTTCACTGTAAGTCTTCTGTTGATAATGAGTGAAAACAGCGCGAAATTTCATGGTCCTAGCTACATAAATGGATGAATTATAACGAAAAATCTCATATCTGAACAATCAGTTGTATGGGAGCTATAGGTTATAGTTACCCGATCTTTTTAATTTTCACTGTAAGTTTTTTGTTGATAATTATTGAAAACAGTGCGGAATTTCATGTTCCTAGCGATATAAATGGAGGAGTTATAACGAAAAATTTTATATCTGAACAATCAGTTGTATGGGGGCTATAGGTTATAGTGACCCGATCTTTGTAATTTTCACTGTAAGTATTCTGTTGATAATGGGTGCAAGTACTGCAAAATTTCATGTTCGTAGCTGCATAAATGGAGAAGTTATAACGAAAAATCTCATATCTGAACAATCAGTTGTATGGGAGCTATATGTTATAGTGGTCCGATTCTTCCGGTTCCGACAAATGATTAATACATTATAAAAATACACCCACATACCAAATTTGATACGGATATCTCGAAAACTGAGAGACTAGATTGCATACAAACAGACAGACAGACGGACAGACGGACATGGTTAAATCAACTCAGCTCGACGTTCTGATCATATAAGTATACATTTTAATGGGTCTATCTCTTTTTGTTCTGGTACTTACAAACATCGGACCAAAGTTATAATACCATTTCATGCTCATGAAAGGTATAATGAGAGCAAAAACAAATTTTCCGTGCAAGATTGAATTTTTTATTTTCGTTTCGGACATTACTTGTATGGCTCAAATATTTTCTATTCATGCAAAAATAAAAACGCGAGGCAATGTAAGCATAATATGCTACATATTTAGGTAATTTTCAGCATTTTCTATAAAGTAGAATATATCTAACACTTAATTTTTTAAAGAGCAATAGGACCTAAACCTTTTCTACTTTATATACATTTCTGTCTTCATATATTTTTTTAACAGCTTAAGTAAAGTTCTGCATCCGCCAATTTCTACAGCCACACGATGAAAAAAAACGAAGTTACTTTATTGACGCATTTTTATAAAAGAGCTACTTTTTATTAGTGAGATTTGGCCAACTTTAAATGTTTTTTCTGAAACCGGTGGTGAACACTCAAAAAACGGCGCAAGAACATGAGTTAAAAAAAAACGGAATAGATTTTAAGTCAAGCGAAATAGAGGAGTAGATTTCAAATTTTGCAAAAACCCGAGTAAATCTAATACGATCTTAGTGAAGTCCGAATACTAGTAGGGAAAGATCTTTTTACATTTCTTATTGTCTTATAAGCAACCTAGAAATAATTTTAGATTCCTCCAGCGAAAGCCAAGGCTCGGATGTTGAATCTGGAGA